ACATGCTGGCTGGGGAATTCTGGGAGTTGAAGTCCACACATTTTCAAGTCGCCCAGGTTGAGGAACCCTGCATTAGAGGTTTGCTAGGGGGACCCTTCAGCTCTTCCATGCAACAGGACTTTGGGTCAGGTAGTCTATTACAGCTTGCTTGCTTGTTTATCTAGCTGGCAAACTTATGCAGCCGCCCATCTCACGGAATGTATGCAAACCTAATGACAATTAAAAAGCCATAAAAGACTCAAGTAAAAAAGAAAACATACAAACCCAAGACTGTGGGAGAACAATAGTCACCTGATGTCATACAGCCATCTTGCAGGCTCACCACAGGATCATGGCCAGATGTTGGGAATTGAAGTCCTATATCTAGAGGGGTGCCCTGGTGGGGGAAGGTTGGTTTGCAAGTCTACCAAACTTTAGGGTTTTTATTTTCTTTATGCCACAACTTGTATATATGACTTCCTAAAGGTGGTGCTCTTAAAGGGCCTAAAATACACAGCAAATGGGAGAGAAATGACAGGGAAAGAGGGGAGGGAAGACTATGGAGAAATGCTGCTAATGTGCACTTAAAGTGCCGTTGCCATTGCAAATGAAAATGAAGAAAAAAGATCTCACAGAAAAGGAAAGGCTTGAAGGAGGAACCATGGCCAGGGAAACAGTTCCATGCGAAACAGAAAAGATCACTGCAGGTTTCTTCAAGGGAGCAAGAAATTTCCCATAGGTAAGGGTCATAAAAAGAAAGGAGGACTGAAAGACGGAACAAGTTGTAGGGAGTTTTCTGAACAGTTTTGTGAGTGCACAAAAGCTGGGAATCTGCAGCTGGAGTGCCACATCCCTATGCTTGGCTTCCGTCTGAGCACAACAGTGCGATAGAGCAGTGCCAACCCTCCTCCTTCAGCAGTTGTTGACAGTTGGGTGGCATACAAGTTTCATAAATTATTATTATTATGGTCGGTCGCACAGTCAGCCAGATGTTTAGACTGGATCTGGCATTTTTATCCACTTATCGAGTCCTTCCCAAGGACCTGGGATAGGCAGATGGTGTTGTTTGATGGTGTTGAAGGTATCGTCGCAGGATGGAAGCTGTCCCAAGTAAAGCTGCCTTTTGCAATTGACTGATGGTGATTTTGCCAATGTC